TGTGTGTGTGTGTGTGTGCGGGTGTGTGCGGATATATGTGGGTGTGTGTGGGTGTGTGCGGATGTATGTGGGTATGTCTGTGTGTGTGCGGGTGTGTGTGCGGGTGTGTGCGGGTGTGTGTGTGTTGTGGGTTTGTGCGGGTGTGTGCGGGTGTGTGTGGGTGTGTGTGGGTGTGTGCGGGTGTGTGCGGGTGTGTGTAGGTGTGTGTGGGTGTGTGCGGGTATGTGTGGGTATGTGTGTGTGTGTGTGTGTGTGTGTGTTTGTGTGTGTGCAGAGTGCGCTATGGGGACAACGCTTTGGCGATACGGATTTCGGCAACCCGTACCGACAATTGGCGTCTGACATCATGCACATGTCCCTGCTCGGCATATAAAAGCACATCCTGGAGGGTCTCAAGTCAAAGCTCAATGGAGACACCTTGCGGGAGCTCGATGCTGCACTTGAGCGGATCACTGAGTACAGCAGGCAATCATTCTTTCGGATTCCTGCACACACTGCTGGCTATTTTAGCGGCCACAACACCTTCAAGGCGTTCCACCATCACGCAGTGATGCAGGTGCTGCCGGCGCTTCTGGTGATGGCGAAGGTGGATGCGAGGACTATCAGTGCAGTGGAGTTGTACTGCACATGGCACAAGGAGGCCTGGCATCGCACGTACCACACCGACACCTCGCTGGCAAACCTTGACGAGATAGCACGCACGTGAGTACTATGCACGATTAGCCACACTCGCATGTGTGCTATGGTATGCATGCTTCAATTGCACTAATGCAGAATTGCATGATTTATACATTAAACGTTGCCGTGTTCTGTACCATTGTTTTACGCGCAGGCTTGTGCCGATGCTGATAGAGGAGTTCACGGTGGACGATCAAGCATCGAATTTCAACGTTTCGAAGATTCACGCGATGTTGCACGTCAGTGACGACATCAGGAGTCGTGGCGTGCCGATTCACTACTGCACCGATGTCTACGAGCACGTGCACGTGCAGATAATGAAGAGGCCATATCGAGCATCTAACAAGAGAAACGCCGAAGCATCGATCACACGGCGGTGCCTTATATCAGAGGTGGTCGAGAGGATGACCGCCGCGGATGAGGTTCCTGATGCTCACGCACGTTCAGTCGCCCTACAGCAGGTGTGCTATTTTACCTTGTCTTTGTATTACAATCTCAAGCATTTGTTCTCTGATATTTTGTTGACGATTTGCCTTTGCACGACCTGCACCGTCCCCCGAATAGCGTTTCCATTCCCAATAAAAATATGTTTTATTTCCCGTTCCTAATCCCTTGCTCTAATTAATTTTGCAGGCTATAGAGACAGGAGTTGCTACAGTCACGGGGACGACATGTAAGATTGCGTTGGGCGACGAGCGTAACAGGAACTACATGCAATACTTACGGAGCGTCCCAGGAGACTTTGACCTCTTGGAGCAGAGTATTGTGTCATACTTGAATCAGCTGCATCCCGGCGATCAGATTGACTATCATCGGATGGTAGAGGTGCATGCAGGTGTGGCAGTACCACCGGACGACGACTTTACCAGATACAGCAGGTATCCTCAGTATGCACGAGCGACTCCCGCCTTCTATGGTGCACCTTGGTTCTCGGATGTGGATATCGAGGGGGAGGATGATAACAAGAAAAAGGTGGTATGGCATGCGAAGCTTTTTCTCATATTCACGCTGCGGTGGACTGTATGTGCTGCGGGCACCGGGGACGAGGAGCAGTTTTCGGAGCAGCTTGCATTTTGTCGTTATTACGGATCACTCCCACAGTCCGCGACGATGGACATGAAGACCTTGAACTGGTGGCCTTCCAACCGCGGGTACGGGGTGTTGCCTGTGGAGAGAATTTTGCGTGTACGCCACGTCGTTCCCAAGACTGTTGATCCAGCGCATCCTAGGGCAACGTTTATGCTGAATCATTTTAGATGGTAGTTGTTACACTTGTACATATGTTTTGTATTAATGTATATAGCTGTGAGCATGTAGGTTTCAGTTACATGATCTTATTGGTGCATTTACTGTTGTTGCCTTTGCTCACATAAAAGAAATACACACAATTTATGTTTCATTTCTTACATATTTACCCGTTATCATCCAACTGTAGCTACTATCGTAGATGTGTTTGTATTGTGGCAAACGCAATTGAGTTGTTTTTGTTAGTGCAACAGTTGGTAACGGCGGGACAATAACTCTCCTTTTTTGCACTGTACCCACTACAACCGCTATAAACCCACACGTTTACAACTGCATCTCATTGAGCCGCATTCAGATGATCGAGAATGACCTAGTGACGTGTATGTAACTTTCACGGTATTTGCTACTTGTTTTGTCGCGTGTGTGTGCATCCAGGTCAATATCGCAATTGGGCCACTGGCAATTCTCGTCTTTCACAGTTGGATTAACTCACGTCGTTTTCCACGTCAGCTCTGTTTGGCATACTCTGGCTATACTCGCCAACGTTGCAAGATCCGATTGCACACGGGACAAAGTTCGGGACCATGTATGCTGCCGCTGAACATTTGTCCAGATTTCTGACATCACGCGTGGCTGAGATGGTCTTCGACTGCCCGTTGTGAACTACGTTTCAGGCTCGACAGTGTGGGTGTAGTTGTACAAATGAACCTGTAATGTTTTTGCGCGGTCAGCAACAAGTAGAGAAGAGACAAATATGACAGCTGGACATTGAAGTGGACTGCCAACGCACCTAAGGTGTACCACTGTTCAAGAAATGTGAACGACAGCGCACCCGAGAAGCCCCCCACCACACTTCAGCCCACAAGCAGCAACTCACATTCTCTCTAACACCACACCATCCCCTTCTTTCCCCCGTTTCCCTTCTCCGTTGGCAGACGAACCTGGTACGTGCTCTGTCGGCGTGTCTCAATTTGTGATTTCAAACTTCGAAATTTCAAACTTCAGCCTTACCTTTCGCGTCCGTGTCTCTCATTCCCTCTCCGTGCGTCCCATGCCGAGGCTCCGTGCGAGCCAACGTTGGTCCAGAGGTTTGGTAAAGAACTCCGGGCCTGCCAACCATGGTGCGCTTCGTGAACCCTCGACATAGTTTTTTCTTTACTAGTTTGTTCGATCGCGTTTATCCCCCTTTATTGTAACATGGAAGCATCTATATATAGCCGTATCCTGGCGTCTTGCTGGCTATACGCTTCTCGATCACTTTGCAGTCATGGCTAGAGGTACTGCTAGAGATCTTGTCCCCGAATCTTTGCGTTCGTTGCAGACTAGAAAGCTTCCGTCTCGGAAAAGCAAGCTAAACCACAAGTTCATCGGCCCGTCTTCCACCGCAGGTAAGTCCACCGGGTTTTTTTTTTCAGCTAGCCATATCCCACCTCTAACACGGTTCATGTTTGGTCGCAGAATCAGAAGACGATGAAGCGACCGATAATCAAGTGCCGAGCCGCCAACGTACCGGACAACGGCACAAACAAACGAAGCGGAGCCTTGGTGACATCGACAAAAGTTCCGCCGGTGGAACGACTGTGGCTGCGCCAGTAGCGGGTGTGAAGTCGAAACCGGGCACCCCTCGTCCGCCAGTCAACGGCTCTGCCACCGACTCAAATCACCAAGTCGCCGCCGCTGGTTCCCCTGCATCTGCCCCTGGCCTCCTTGCTGGTGCTGCCAGTGCCCCCCCTGCTGCTGCTCTTGACGGTGGCCCCCCTGCTGCTTCTACTCCTGCTGCCGGAGCTCCCACTCCTGCTTCTGCAGATGGCCCCCCTGGTGCTGTGGATGTCGCTCTCAATGCTGTGGTCGCCGCCGAGAGAACTGCTGATGAGGAAGGTACGTTGTCAGCTGTTATGTTTTAAGCCCACCGACCCAATTCTTAATGCTTTGGCGCTATGCATGCTTGGATTATGTGCCGTTGATATTATCATCTGTAACGTTTTTTTTTCGTTTATTTTCCTCAACAGAGAACGCAGATGCCAGCCCGATGGAGTTGATCATGTCCTGGGCGAAGGGGAAGGCGTATGCAACTGAAGCCGCTCGGTTCGACGAGGAGGCGCGCGCGGAACCAGATGTAAATGAGGAGCTCCGAGCTAAGGCTGAGAGTCATAAGGCGGTCGCTGGCGTGTATCAGAAGGAGAATGGACGCCTCGCGGAAGACCTGAAAAGCGCTCTCGTGCTTTTAACGCATCTTGCAAAAAAGTGCCAGCAAGTTGACCAGTCGACTCTCGATTGGAAGGTATTGTTTTAACTCTGTCATTGGCCTAAGCCTTTTTACTACCGTCCTGACTCTGTTTCTCTTATAATTTCAGAAGTACATCAAGGAAGCTTGCGACGATTTTTTGTTCAAGCAGGACACGCTCAACCTCAGCCCCGACTCCGAGGCTATGCTCAATGACTTAGTTGGTACGTATTGTCTGTTCGATTTGAAATAATATTTTCCAGCGGTCCTAATGCACTAAGGTTTCTTGGTGTGCAGTGAAAGCAGGCTACACCCCTGAGTCAGCCGAAGGGATGCAAGTTGCTGCGATTGCCAAGTCCCAGGGCAAGCTGAAGGATGCTTTCGAACGGTTTAACGATCGCATCGGCAAAATCTACCGATTGTGCCGCGTTTACGCGTTGAGCAGCGACCCCTGCGTCTTCATGCGAGAGAAGCGCACCCTTAAGGGCGAGCTCACTTTTGCCGAGCTTGACGATTTTGCAAAGCTGTGTTCTGCCTACGTGAAGAATAACTCATCCCGTAAGTTATGTTTTTGTTCTCTTATTCTATACATCCAGCGGCTATATTCTAACTGCTGATTTTACCACCCTTGGCAGAGTTCCTGGGGATCTTCTGGCATGTGTGTGCGGGAGAACCATTTTCTAGCCCGGCCTTTATTAAGTGTGCATCCCTGTGGGACCCAGAATTTGATGGAGCTCTACCCATTGCACTTTTTCCAGATCAGCTGCTGGTCATCCTTGCGTCGGTAAGTAAGCAGCCGTAAATATTTAGGTTTGGTTGTTCAGAACAGTAGTTAACTACTGTTTTGATGCACATGTTTCAGGTGCGATTCAAGCTCCGTAATCCGCACGGCAAGGCCCAGTTCAAGCGATCAGGAGACCCGTCAGCTTTCTCCAGGCAGGCACGGGTGGTGCAGCGCTGGATCAACGAGAGCACTGTTGAGCGTGACGGGGATGCTGTTGGCATTGGCAGCATCTGCATCGTTGGATGGGCGGACATCCCGGTAGCTGTTCTGGACGCAGATGAGCTAGGTGATCTGACACGAGATGACCTCACCACCAGGGCCTCTTACCGTAGGGTTTATAACGAGAACGAGGTCCAGAAGGAGCTGTACTAGATTTAGGCGCTTTAATAATCTGTGTGCTTTCGTATTTTAATTAATAGTAATTCTAGTTATTTGTGATTGTCATTATGGCTGGTCTTTTTCGAATAAGTGAAATTTAATTAATCGATTTAATTCTACACGCTATTTCGGTTATTCCATTTTTCCCGTTAAATGCACATACGTACCTTTTAGTTGCACAAATTTAAAACGATTAAATGTAACATTTCGGAAAATTATACATGATACTGTTTAGGTAGTATCCAGAATAATAGTGTAGGGGCACTTCCTTTACAAGAACATTCGATGGTGAATTACAATATTGCTAAAACAATTCCACATCACTAAAACATATCGCGACTGAGTGTTTATCGAGATTTCGGAGCTGACGTGACATCGAATCGAAAAACAGGTAGCCCCAATAAACACCATCCAGCTGTCCGCATCTGTTTCGCGAAACTTTTCCAGAGCTTTTTAGCAGGCTCGGCAGCCACTCAATCGCCCAACCGAAAACCAATCGGGGGCTAGATGCCACTAGCATAGAAAACCAATCGCCAAAACCAGGCAAATGCCTGGAGCCGAAAACCACTCGCCAGCTAGAGGTTCCCCAACAGATTGCGGGACCCCCAAAATTCCCGATGAGCCCATTGACGCCTACACTTTAGCGGGCGACGCGCCGACCGCCATCATCCCGTTTGCTTCCGTTCCGCTGGGTACCCCTACCTACACTGGCGGCGTTGCCACGTACGTTTGTGTTTCCAGGCTGCTGTGTTTCTAACAACTTTTTTCCCATGTTGAGCTCAACACGTACGATTTTTCTTCTTCCTCTTCTTCTTCTCTTCTTCTTCTTGTGGTACTGTACATACCCTCTGTTATTGTTTCCCCTTCCATACTTCATGTGTCATGCTTAGCCACTTCTTTTCTCCCACTTCACTGTTACTAGCATTCCCACCCTCTATCGCCTATTGCAGGTAGTGCTCCCTCTCCCCCACACACCGTCATCCCTTTTTGATCCGGATATATTCATATTGATGCCAGATGTATATTCTTTTGTTCACTTCATAACCTCATATCCACGCCACACTGCACTCCACACTCCCTTGCGTCCACACCCCTTTACCCTCACACTCCAGTCTTACACACCCTCAAACCTGCAAGCATTCCCACACGGTGACACGGGCACCAAGCTCACCTTCTTGAACACCTCTCCTACTCTCCCCCCTCCCCCCTCCCCTTTCCTCCCTCCCTTCTTTCCCCGCTGCCACTCCCATCACAGCTTCTCCCTCATCAACGCCGCATGAAGACCACCTGGGTCTAACCCCGACGGCCCAATTCTCTCTCCCTCCCCCCTCCCCACCCCCCTCCCTCACGCTCTCCCATCCCCCACAACATCCCTGCAGCTTCTCCCGCATGGTGGGCACGGGCAACAAGATCAACTTTCGTTCACTCTCCCCTCCCCATCCCCCTCTCCTTTCGCAAACACCTCTTCCCGTCCCCCAACAGCTTTTCCCGCACGGTGGGCACGGGCAACAAGATCAAGTTCGTGAACGGCCCCATGAAGACCATCTGAGCCTCTCTCACTCACCCCTCCCCTCCTCACCCCCGCTTCCCTTCCCTTCCTTTCGCTCCCCCCCACACACAGTTTCTCCCGCACGGTGGGCACGGGCAACAAGATCAAGTTCGTGAACGGACCCATGAAGACCATCTGGGCCTACTCCGTCGGCCCCTCCGGCTTATTCGACAACGGCCATGCTGCCCACCGCGGCACCGTCACAATCGACTACTCCTGTGACGCCACCGCTGTCGCCAACCCCTCGCCGCCACCCCCCTCCACCGCCAAACCCCCGCCCCCTTCCAGCGCCAAATCCCCGCCCCCTCCAAGCACCTCGCGCTCCCCCCCACCGCCTGCAGGTCGCGCCCCCTCACCTCCCCCTCCATCTACTTTACCCAAGCCGTCTCCTCCCCCCTCGGCCCCACCTGGAGGTGCTGCGTGTGCGTCGTCGTCGCTTGCCGGGTACTCGTATCAAGTGGAGCTGAATGGACCGCTGTGAGTGATGGTAGTGCCAGTTATTGCTTCTGCTGACGCCACGCTGGTATTAGTAGTGAATGTGGCGGTGATGTTGTTGCTGAGGCTAGCTGCTGTGATAGTAACGAATGGCAGTGTGGTGGGTTGTGATCTCTATGGTTTCCCTGTAGTGCACCATGGTGTTCCCGTTTTGTTCTTTTTATTTTTCTTTTTCCTTTTAATTCTCTACAGCAACTGCCAACAGAATCGTTTCCGCGCAGCCGCCACTGAGCTTCTTCTTCCATACACCTTCAGCCCTTCCCTATCAGCAAACTCCCGATTAGACGCTCAACACACTCCCCTTGAACGCTCACCGGACGTTCACTGAACTCTCTCTGAACTCTCACTGAACTCTCTCTGAACTCTCACTGAACTCTCACTGAACTCTCACTGAACTCTCATTGAGCTCTCACCAAACTCTCTCTGGGCTCTCATTGTAATTCACCACAAGCACATCCATTAGAGCATGAACTGAATATTCACCACAAACTCTTCCTCCAATAGACACTCTCCAGCAATGAAGCCCATCAAATTCCCGATTGAGGTCAGCAGCAGCAGCGCTCTTGCGTCAACCCGTCTCTATCATGCTTCTCATCCCCATGCCCTCACCTTCCTTCCCCCCTCTCAGCATCCTCCTCCATTGGACCTTCGCCACCAAGACGCGCATCAGATTCGCCCTTGAGGCTCGCAAGGGCACTCTAACCAAAAATGGCTGGATGGCCGTTGGATGGTCGGGCAAGAAGGGCAAGATGAAGGGCTCAGATGCTGTCATTGGGAACCTGCCGGGCGTGGCTGCGGTGCACATAAGTGGGTATAGTAAGAAGCTCGTAAAGCAAACGAGCTCATTTGCTATCGGGACTCCTACAGTTTCTTCTACATCTGAAGGCGGCACAACAATCATGTAAGGGTGACGGAAAACTTGGCCTGTTTCCCCGCATGTTACTCTACTTCCGCTGTATTACCCTACTTCCCCATGCGCTACCCTACTGCGTTGTCCTTTGTTTCGCCAGTGTTTTAATAGCATTACGTGCTGGTAAGTTAATCTAAGTTGCTGTTTTTCTCACCAGCGTCTTTTGCTTTGCCTCCCTTTTCCTCGTTCCCTCCCGGCTTTCCCTCACGACACTCCCTTGCACTCTCATACATTCCCTCGCACTCCCTCACACTCCCTCAAACTCCCTTACACTTGCTCAAACTCCCTCGCACCCTCTCAGTTTCGCCAGGAAGGTGGGCACGGGGACCGTACCAATCAAGCTCAACGCCACCAACTACCTCATCTGGGCCATCAGCAGCACCGCCACCAAAACCCTCGCCTTTCACGGCAACCACCAGTAAGTGCTCTTGTTACCCTTCCACTAATAGACATATTTGTTACCTTGTAACTAGGAACTTTACCCTGCGACCAGGAAGCAGCTTGTTATCTTGTTACCACGAGGCACTTTGTTACCCTGTAATAACGAAGCCACTTTATTGCCCCTGTACCACCTAGAGAAGTCTGCTGTATCTACCCTCACATCTTCCAACTGTTTCTTCCCACCCTCACACCCTCCCAATGCACTCTCATTCAACCTTCCACCCTCTCGTGCACTCTCGTCCAACCTTACACTCTCTTGCCTTGTACGGGCAGTCTTGCTGTGGAACTTAGTGGCTTTCAAAAAGGCCTTCCGCCCTCTGACCCTTAAACCACTGAGCCGCGGCCCTACCAGAGCACATCCTCAATCCACCCCCACTCCTCCCAAACCTTACACTCCCCCTCTCCTCCAATCAGGGGCGGCCTTGCAGTTGACTTCTCGTGCTACAAGAAGCCCTGGTACCTCCGGGGTGGTGGGCTGGACTACGAGGATGACGATGCATGCGACCAAGCCCGACCCTTTATCCCTCCCTCTCTTTCCCTACTAGGGGTGGCCTTGCGGTGGACTTCTCGTGCTTCAGGAGGCCCCAGTACCTCTGGGGAGGCGGGCCCGACTACGAGGATGACTCAGACTATGACAATCCGCCTCCCTCCGGTGGCGGCGGTGGTGGTGGTGGTCATGATGATGATGACGATGATGATGACGATGATCATGATCATGACCACCACCACAAGTCGAAACATAGCAAGTCGTTAGGCGGCAAGTCGTCGGGCGGCAAGTCGTCGGGCGGCAAGTCGTCGGGTGGCAAGTCATCCAGCAGAAAACCGTCCTATGGCTACGGCGTCCCCACCACACCTGGATCCTCCAACCCATTGGCTGGTGCTGCTTCAAGCAGTAGGAGTGCCATTTCCCATTTGTTCAGTCAGAAGCCGTTGGGCCAACAACAATGTGCTCCTGGTGCTGCTGCTGGGGTTTTCGCTGCTGCTCGTGCTAGTGCTTCTGGTGCTGGCACTGCTGGTGTTGGTGCCAGTGCTGCTGCCAGTGGTACTGCTGGTACTGCTGGTGGTGGTAGTGCTGGTGCTATTGAAGGTGCTGGTTCTATCGATGTTGCTGGTGCCACCGAAGCTGCTGGTTCTATTGAAGGTGCTGGTGCAGGTAGTGCTTCTAGTGCTGGTACTGTTGCTGGTGGTGCTGCCGGTGGCACTGCTGATGTTGGTGGCGCTGGAAATGCTGCTGCGGGTGCCACTAATTCCGCTGGTGCCACCAATTCTGCCGGTGCCACTATTTCTGCTGGTGCTAGTGCTGCTTCTGTGGGTCCTGCTGCTGGTGGTGCCATTGGTGCTGCTGACGCTACTACTGCTTCTAACGCTGGTGCTGGTGCTGCAGCAAAGGGTCTAACAAATGCTGGCTTTTAGGGAACTAGTGGATCTGCCCTGGGATATGTTTTGGAGGTTAGAAGACATTACATGTGCTTTGCTTGCCACCTGATGATAAAAATAACATCAATATGAAATGTAAGTCCGTTTTCCAAGTGTTCGTGTGACAACTGGTCGGCCTAGTCAGGTTCGGCAACAAAAATCCGCATTGTCAATTCTTATAAGATAAATTTGCTGTACATTTGATCATTGTCTTCTACCACAGACCAACATCTCCATATTCTTCAGACTCTACCATTGTACCTACTCTTTAAACCAGGCCGTTAGAAATCAGTCGCTTCATATTGCCTTGGCTTCCAAGCATTATTTCTTTATTTCTTTCAAGTATGTACATACTCACTCCCAGTTTGCCTGTTTCTCTCACCACTGACTACTCCAATCCATCCAAAATGTAAAATGGTGGAGATGCATGGCAACCATAAATTCACGCAAAAATGTTCCATTATCAGTGTACATTACGGTATCAGGGTTGCTCAGCGTACAATATTCTCAAAGTTAGCGAACAACGGAATGTGTGAACTAGGGAAACAAGGGATACAAATAGCAACCCTAAAAGTGTTGTACTCCCTAGAGTGCTACTCACTGTAGCCTAAGAACCTATAATACCGTAACATTTGACACACCCCCATAGGCTAAGTGAGGGGCATCAAAGCAAGCAGGGTGAACAAACGGTCACAAGACCAGTCAATGCAAGAAGCAAAGCAAGCTCAGGGTGGATCTCAAGGACACCACACAAATTCCGAGCACAAGCAAGCGGCCACAAGGCCAGTTCAAGAGTTCACTAGGATATGTATAGCAAAGCACAACAAGCAGAGCAAACAGCAAGTCTACAGCAACCGAGGGCCTACCTCAACAAGCCCCAACTGCACACAGAACCTGTGGTGGTCACCAAGCGCCAGGGCCTTGGTGAAGACGTCTGCAGTGTTGGCCTCTGAGGCCACAAATTCCAGGCGTGCCTGGCCGCGTCGCTGTAGCTCTCGCAGAAGGAAGTACCTCACGTCAATATGCTTCACTCTGCTCTCCAGTCGAGGCTCTCGACACAGGAGGATCATGGCCTTGTTGTCAGCGTACAAGGTCGGTGCAGAGCGAGGCCGCTCACCAAGGTCGGCGAGCAAGAAGGTCAACCAGCGAAGCTCCTGTGCCGCCATGGCACCAGCGTATATCTCTGCCTCTGCACTGGAAGTAGCCACAGACGACGACCGTGTAGACCTCCACGACACAGCACCAGCACCCAAACTGAAGCAGTAACCCTGAGTCGAGCGCTGAGTCTCCACGTCGTCAGCGTAGGAAGAGTCGCAGTGACCAGTCAACGCCACTGGCTGAGTCCCTCCAAGCACAAGCCCCATGCCTGATGTAGTCGCCAGGTACTTCGCCACCCTCACAGCAGCTGTCCAGTGGACAGGACGGTGTCTCCCAGTCGCAACAAAGCGAGAGAGGACGCTGAGGGGAAAGGCGAGGTCCGGCCGAGTACAAGTCATCAGGTACATGAGGCAGCCCACCAGCTCTGCGTAGGGACCACTGGACTCAAAAGGCTCGTCGGGAAAGGGGCCAGTGAGTCTGTGGTCAACAGCAAGAGGTGTGGGCTGTGTGGTGGAGAACTGGAAGTCGAACCGCCGAAGGACCTGCTGCACCATGTGTGACTGAGTCAGTGTGATGGTGCGAGCGGCTCTGTCCCTGATGATCTGCAGGCCAAGGTAGCGCTGCAGTTCACCTAGGTCAGTGCACGTGTGTCTCTTCTGCAGTTCGGACTTCACCTGAGCTAGAGCTGCCCTGTCTGCTGTGGCAAAGACCAAGTCGTCGACGTACACTAGTATAAAGAAAGGAGTGGAACCAGTGCGAACAAACAGCGACGGGTCGGCAGAGGAAGGACAAAACCCAAGGTCACGAAGCGTGGAGCGAAGAGTGTCGTGCCACTCACGGGGCGACTGGCGGAGACCGTAGACTGGCCGTCTCAGGCTCCACTGGGTCCCAGGTGGGAAGGTGTCAGTGAAGCCAGGAGGGCGGCGCAGCCAGATCTCCTCGTGTAGTCGGCCCTGGAGAAACGCAGTAGAGAAGTCAAGGGAGTGCAGCTCGTAGTCTCGCTGTGCTGCTACGTGCAGTAACACCCGAAGAGTAGTCATCTTCGGGGTCGGGGCGAAGGTCTGGAAGAAGTCAACTCCCTCACGCTGACTGAAACCCCTAGCCACGTAGCACGCCTTGAACACAGGCGGTGATCCAGGCGGCCGCTTCACCTTGAAGAGCCACATGCCATCGACTACGTTCGCCCTGGGAGGGGGAACTGCGTCGACGTACGTGCCTGTAGATCTCCAAGACGCTAACTCCGAGGCCATAGCCGCTTTCCACTGTGAGGCCCACGCCCCTGACACTGCCTCGCGGTAAGTGCGAGGAGTCGGTATGTCAAGGGCGTCGGGGTCTCCCTCAGGGGATAGCAGCATGGCACAGACAGAGGGGGAAGCGGCTGCCCAGTACTCCAGCTCAGACTCTCTGTCCTCTAGGACGTCACAGCCAAGGGCAAACCCACCCCCGACGGACAGAGGACGGGAGGGAGGAGCTGGCACCACACGGGTGGTGTAGTCAAGGCGACTGGCGGCAGCAAACTCAGCGACAGCGGCAGTGAGAGCCGAGACAGACGACGGAGGGAAACGAGAGTCAGTGACAAGAGTGGCGAGGACACGAGAGACAACAGGACGAACAGCGCGGTAGTAGTCAGTGACAGGAGTAGGGGGGAAAGGGAGAGAGGATGGAGGCGGAGACGGGAGAACGGACTCAGGAGGAGGACGACGAAGAGACGAACAAAGGAGGGCAGTGCGGAGGTCGGTAACGGGAGACGAGTGACGAGCACGCGGAGGACAGGGACGGACACGAGAGTGTGGGACAACAGGTGGAGGAGACTGCGGTGGAGGAGAAGACCAGACCGCCGGACTGTCGTCAGGAGGAGGAAACGTGGGACCAAACGCTGGAGGGGACGGAGTGTGAACAGGAGGAGAGGAGGGAAGACCAAGGGCCCGAAGGCCACTCACGGGTGGGAACAACTGCCGCTCCAGAGGGAGCTGCTGTGGTCGCAGCTGCGGCAGCGGTGTCTGCTGCTGCTGCGGCTGCTGCTGCTGCTGCTGCGGCTGCTGCTACTGCGGCTGCGGCTGCTGCTGCTGCTGCTGCTGCTGCTGCTGCTGCTGCTGCTGCTGCTGCTGCTGCTGCTCCAGCAGGTCCAACTGCCGCAACTCCTGCCGCTCCCTCTCCAACAGCACCTGCTCCTCACGCTCACGCCGACGGGCCGCCTGGAGACGTGTGTCGTGGCGGTGGGGAGGCGGAGTGGACTCCGCAGAACCAGTGCCTCCAGCTCCAGTCTCCTCAGAACCAGCACCTCCAGTGCCAGCGCCTCCAGCACCAGCACCCCCAGAACCAGCACCCCCAGGACCAGCACCTCCTGTGCCAGCACCTCCAGCTCCATCACCCCCAGAACTAGTACCGCCAGTGCCAGGACCTCCAACTCCAGCACCCCCAGAACTAGCACCTCCAGTGCCAGCACCTCCAGCTCCAGCACCCCCAG